ATATATATATATATATATATATATATATATATATATATATATATATATATAGCGAATAATAGATAGCAAATATAATAATAATTAAGAAACAAGGTACATAATACCTAATAGAGAAACTTGAAAAAAATGTTAGTCTCAATCTATATTTTTCATATCTCAAAAACAGTCTCAATTCATATTTTTTATCTTACAGGCTTACAGCATTTTCATTTATTATTTTGCTGTTTTAACGACTAGACTGTAGTATATAATTGAAAATTTTTAGTAGTATTTAAAAAAATGAAAACTTTAATATTCCCGAAGAATTGTAAGTGGTTTTTTTTATCTGAGAGATATTTCAGAAATTATCAGAAATTATCAGATACATTTAATGGGAATATAAGAGGACTGTTGTTTTATCTTATGCATATGTAAGGAAAAAACATGAATATTTGTGCATGAGATTATAAAAAACAACGAATTTCACCAAAATTACCAATAAGTTACTATCTTATCGTAATTTTACCGTAAATAATCGTCATTTTAAATCTGACGGTAATTTTATATCTCTAGTCATGAGTATCATTAAGTACATTCTAACATCGCTCGTCAGAGAGTATTCAGTGCTCTTTAAACTTAGAATGAAATTTCACTCGAAAATCAGAGTTAATTTGACTGTGATTCTTCACTCCTATATAGACTGAATTTTCCACTTTAAATCGAGTGAATATTTTTCCTCAAAATTAAAGAATGAATCTGGTGTATTCCATCGTTATAGAAACATATTCACTCTAATCGATTGAAAGACTCGCTCGTATGAAGTCAGAATTCACTGAAGCTTAAGAGAAGCGTCAACTTTAGCTTAAGTAAAACGTCAAACTTTAACAATTCCAAGTGGCAATATTTTCATTATCGCTTGAAATGAAAATACTGTTACTTTTTACTCGTTTTAAGTGATTCCACTCCAAACATTTTAAAGTAAATTTTGGGACTTGATGGTTTATACTTTTATATCTTGATTAAATCTGAAAACCAATACATCAACCAATTAAATCCAGGAGCGAACCAGATGCTCAGAAAGCATTTAATGTACTTAATGTACATATTATTTCTATCCGACGCAGCCTTCCGAGTCCTACTTCTGACGAACCTTTGGAATGGTACGTTCCGCTGCACGGACCCCTCCCTTCCGACCTCCCCACGTCATCACAATCGTCACAGATCAAGTCCACCAAGAGCGTTCAATTCGTACCCGCCTCTGATAAGTTCCGAAAATATCGCACTCTATACTCCATCCCAATGAGTCTAAATCGTTTCCATCAACTGTTTAGAAAAAGAAGACAACGCAAATGACGAATACAATTATCCTACATTGTTCCATCTCGCATCTTCGTAATTAGAGATTTGCGATATCTTCGAATATAGCTCGCTGTTCGTTTGTTTGACATTCTGTTCTCGTTGAACTTGCAGTAAGCCAACGCCCAACAAGGAATCCGATGTCAGGCAGAGGAAGTGAAACAACAAATAGATGAATGAAAGCGATGCGACAGAATCGGCAAGGAGGGATCGTCATGTGTCAAAGTGCTTCGCACTTCGGAGTTTCGCAGAGACAACAGGAAGGCGACTTTGAATGGGAAATAGATCGTCTAAATGTGGAATAAACACTGGGGAAAATGGACAGCGAGCTCGAATGGGCCATTGATAGTGCACACCTGCGTGGACACGGGCTTGTGCAGACGTGTGGCAGGATCACAAGTTACTAACAAATTAAATTAAGCCTTATTATGGTGTTCACTCCATTTATCAGATGTTCGCCTGTTCGTATTCTTTAACTACACTGCTTTGACCGACGGAGAGATGTGTTGACATAAGAGTTATGTATAAGTGCCGATGACGCGAGTGCCAGGAACGGAGCGTGGCAATGGGCGAGAGAGGGAGAGAGAGAAAGAGAGAGAGAGAAAGAAAAGTAATGCATGTATGAGTGAAAAAAAGCTAACAAGAAAACAAATCGATAGATCGAAGAAGCAGCAAACAAAACGGCGTGTCCATCGATCGCGCGAATACATGCGTAATTATAAACATATATAAATATATATGTGTGTACATATATATTTGTTTATATTTATTATATTTACAATTTTCCACGGAATGCTTGGAAGTTTGCAGTATCACATTCTTGGTCGCGCGTTCACTCGCCGTATTACATCGCTCCGATCATGCGTGGTACTCGCATTCGCGTTTGACGGACACGCCGTGGAAATTAGATTCGCGTAGAACTCGTTTCTCAAACCGCACGTGTGACCGAAGAAAAATAAACTTTACGGTAGGGCCGAGAATATGCGCTCGATACTAGTTATATAATAATAGGAACGCAGGCAGTGCGTGTGCCACATTTGGCTTCCGGATATACTCACGCACTCTTGAAGATTATGAGAGGGAGAGAGAGAGAGAGAAGGAGAGAAAGAGGAAAAACACAGAAAGAAAGAGGGAAGGAGCTTATCTTTGGCGTCGCCTTATTATGATATATTCCGTCGCTCGCGTGGAGATATCCCGGAAGTCTGGTTGCACACGACGCCGTTGTTAACGACATTAATGTAATTAATACTGTAATATTATTGCCATCGTTACTACTGCTGCTACTACTATCGTTATTATGATTATTACAAGTATTATATATATATATGTGTATATATATATATATATATATATATATATATATATATATATATATATATATATATATATATATCTTTAATTTTACCACACTATTGTAATAATTTATAATCCATACCAATACGATTCTCTATATCGACAGCGTCATCATTGTCAGGTATTTGCAATTTCTATCTATAATTGGGGAATGGAGTGTGTCGCTCGTGTGCTACACTCGTTTTATTATCGTCGTCACATCTATGTTACCGTTCCTCCCATCGATTTTAGGCGTTAATAGACCAATTACAATTTATATAGTTGGAACAATATGGAGATAACACTTTTAAGATGAATAGGGTAATCTATTAAAGAAACAGGACGCGTCGACTCTGTTGAAAAATGTACAAATGTTTTATTGCTCAAACGTCCATGCTTGCTCTTAAGTAGATGCACTTGTTGGGCGTATTCGATAGATGCGCGTATTCGTCGAGCGACATAATTCTAGGCACGCATATTTTCCCATCTTTGAACCGGTAAATATCTGGGATCATTAGATCCTTTCTTGTTCCAAAGTCCTCGAGTTATATGGCCCACCATGGCTTGTCGATATTCGCTGTTGAGACCATCTGCTTCTTTCAGACTCTCGTGAGATATTCGAACTCAAAAATTCTCCTTAGATCATCCGCGATTACACGAATTACACCACAAAAGCACGCAAGTTCGACGAAGTTGAGTTCGCGCACTCTGTACAGAACCGCGTGTTGCGTCGCGCGCGTCCTATGGATTACTTCTTTGGTCGTAAGCGCCACTTGTACGCTTCCATACAGGGACTTCCCTCTCGGTGCTGGCGCTCGACCGAGCGGCTCTCCGCCGGGAGAGAGAAGTCATGTGGGAAAAGGGGGGAAAAAAATAGAGATAGCACCGCAGGGACCACGAGTTTCGTGTTCTGCTCGCGTCCTCTGTCACTAACAAGGTATGTACAGGTCGTCCGCCTCGGTGGGAGCGGGCAAGGTCGATCTTTTCTCTCTTCTCTCTCTCTCTCTCTCTCTCTCTCTCTCTCTCTCTCTCTCTCTCCCTCTCTCTCTCCCTCTCCCTCTCCCTTTCTCTCTCATGATTTCATCGAGAGGAAGGGTCCGATCAAAGACGTTCCTCAGGCCTTACTTCGGCATCTGGCTGCCGTAGTCCACGTAAACACGCACGACCTCGCCGCTGTACTTCCGCTGGCTCGGCATAAAGTAGAAGTCCGGTTGGTTCGCCTGTGCCGCAGCACCCGTCGGATTGTGCAGGCTCTTGGCACGCTGGTAATGATCCCGGCGATCTTGAGTGTAATAGCCAGGCTGAATGGGCGCGGAGTGCCTGGCGCCGGGTGCACGAGGCAGACTGTAGGTCGCTCTGGGGCCGACCATCCTGTTTGGCGCATCGACAGCGTCGGTACCGTTCATGCCGCTCGTGCCGTTACCGGCCAGCTCTCTGGGCCGCGGCAGACTGGAGACCGGCGGCGGCGGCGCTTTCTCCTCCGTCTCGAACGCCTCGAACGCGAAGTTCGTGTTTGCACCCGATGCATAGTCCTTCCAGGCGTTGCTGGCGATCAAACGCTCCTGTGACAGAAAGGAGGTTGTCGGATTCGTTCAATCGTGAGAAATGAGAATGATCTTGCACTGCTTGAAGCAACTAGTGGATCTTTTTGTCTTCTTCTGGTCGATTTTTAAACTATTTCCAATGGCATATAAACAAGCAAAGCGAAATGTATATGAAGAAGTCGAATTTGAATAATCACAGATTTTCGAAACAACATATATGTTGTTAATACTTGATAACAGTCGTTATTTGAAATTTGCCTCACGTAAAAAATACTCAGATTTGAATTGAGAGTTATAAGTGAGTTTTTTTGGTTTGAATCACGTGTAATATATGCGACATTACATTTCTGTAAACGCGACTAAGTTGAGAAATTCGCAACAAAATTCAAATCTGAGTATCTCATCCGAAACAAGTTTCAAACAATGATATATACTTGATACAAAACTAATTGTCTTAAGCAGTGCTTTCAGTCGGAGTTTTCTTCCATCAATTTTCAGTCCATGATATCTACGCGCATGTATTTAAAAGAGAAGGTGCGAACAAAGAATTATATAAGCTTGCAAGTTTCTTTCGAGTGTCTCATTTTAACAAAAAATTGTATATATAGAGATAGACGAGAACCTATCTTTTATAAATGTAACATCAAATATACATTTATAGAAGACAGATTTAAGAGAGTTAAAATGCGCGGAAAGGGAGAAAGGGAGAGAGAGAGAAAGAGAGAGAGTGAGAGAGAGAGAAAAAGAGAGAGATGCAGTCGCAAAGAGAGCGGGAATTTAGCCAGGGTTAGTGAGAACGAGTAACATTTGCGCACCGATTACACTCGACGAGTTCTACCAGCTGGGATTAGCCCGATGCAATTCGGACGGAACGTGTTGGTGATGATGCCGAAGGTGATGATGATGATGATGGTGATGGTTGTTGTTGTGATGGTGATGGTGATGATCGCCGTTTTGTCGATGGTACCGCGTCGCGTTCGTGCGATGAATCGGGTTGGGCGCGTCAGAAGAAGCCAGAGGCAGCGAGTACACCCTCTTTATGGTCGCGAGGAGCGCGAGTCATGCAACACAAGCGAAGCAAAAGATGTCCACGAGTTTATTAAGGGGCGATAGTGTAGTTCGTACGCGTAGAGAAATTCCTCTGCGGGGTATTCCAAGAAAGTATGCGTGATCGAAAGTCAGATTTTATAAGGGTACTCCTGGCTACTCGCCGCGGAACTCTTGATTGATGACGCCAGAAGCGAGGAAAAGCGTGCCCAAAATTCCCGTAAAGTACATTGAAATAAAAAGATTTATAAAAAAATAACTTGCAATCGATTAAGTATGTTTTCAAAACATCCCACTTTTCTTTTGCTTTAACGACCAATAAATAACCATAAAATTAACGTGACACGTAACTTTCCTTTTCCTAGGTAGAACAGGTAGTCAAAATAATGTCAATATGACGTCATTTTGATCAAATATTGACCAAATTTATATTTTTACATAATTACATTTTTTGGTGAAAATGACGTGAGATTGACATTATTTTGACTATCTGTTCTACCTAGGTTTAACTTACGTTTCTTTATTATTTTGTCACGTTAATTTTACGGTTATTTATTAATTGTTAGAGCAAAAGGAAAGTATTTAGAATATTTTAGAGATGTATCTAATCGATTGCAAGTATCATATTTTGGATATTTATATTTACGTATTTTGCAGGAATTTTGACTTTAATTTCGCAAACAAAATGAAAATGTCTTGTTATATCCAATATCTATTTTAAATGTTATCATTAGATCGCTTTTTCAGAATTTCACAATTTTATTTAACGAATTTAACCGCGTTTCTCATTTTTTAATTGATTCACAGTTTTATTCATTTATCTGTACTTGTCTCTACTGGACATTGCAGTTGTTTAATTGAGAGATACTAAGAGATTACAATTTTTAACACAACATGGAGAATGCGTGAAAATTTTGAGAATAATTTCTAACGGCGTTACACGCGCGTTTCTTGGAAAACCTTAGACATCAGCAAGTATCGTTGCGACCGCGCGCCATCGAAAGATCGCGTCGATATGGATATCGATATGGGTATGTATATTCGTGAACGGGAAGATTGATTATTTCTGTAAGTTTAAGAACTCCCCTACCCTTTCCGTCAAAGTAGAATTTATTTCCCAATAAAAGAGCTTTTTCATTTGGATAAGTCGGATAGGTTCCGAAACTTACAAAAAGAAAGCAGACAAGTTAAATAACAACATAGTTTTACTTTAACATTATATTTTTGTAGATCTGCTATTATTATTTGCTTTATTTTGTTATATTTTACTTTAAAGCTTTTATTCTTAAACCACAATGAAACTTTACAAACATCATCTGAGAATATTTAAAGTACATGTATACAACAATTGAGATTTTATCATATTATTTTTTTTATTTTCCAAATAGTAGTAGACTGGCATTAAATAGATAACAGTGTATCGATAATACCGATTAACGTCGATCGAGACGCGCCATGTTCACGATGATGATTGCTGGCGCAATCTGTCGGCAGTGCGCGGTCGCAACGGCAAAGTGTCGTTAGAAGAAGAGCAGCGCGCAACACTCACAGGAGACTTGGGATGCGAGAAAAAGTGGTGAGAGGGAAAATACGCGAAGAAGAGATGAACGAACGTGACATGGAACATACCTTGGTCGCTCGCCTTTTCGAGCTCCTGTAGAGGGTGCAGGTGGCCTGCAGCAACGCGAGGGCCAGCAACGCTGCCACGCAGCCGACCACGATGTAAAGCTTCGTCGCGCCCGGGAATAAGTCCGAGGAAGACGGTAAGTCGTACTCATCGTCCACGTCTATCTCGTTCACTGGAAGCAGGTGTAATTTCATGGGGAGGGATATTACATGTATGTCTCTCTCTCACCCATGTACGTGTTTCGTTGAATTCTTAAAAGTACATTCCCAGTAAGCAAATTGAGCGCAGACTGCGCGCAGACCCTTATAGAAATATCATACTAAGAATCATTGATAATTACTTATTTTCAGTATTAAAAATACTGGATAATAAGTAATTATCAATGATTCTTAGTATGATATTTCTATAAGGGGATTGGCAGCAAATTTGATCAAAAATCCACAGCAAAACCATAGCCATATGTGTCTACATTAGGCTACGGTTTTGGCGACAGATCTTGCTGTCGGACAATTGGCGCCAAATTTGCAGCAAAAATCGCGCAAAGCTTGCAGCGCAGCAAGATCTGCGCGGTTTCTGCCGCCAATCTGCCGTCAAATCGCTACAAGCTCTGCGCGGTTTTTGCTGCAAATCTGCAGCAATTATCCGACAACAAGCTATGCCGCATATCTGGCGGCAATTTGACAGCAAGATTTGATATAACAGATCCTGCATCAAATTTGTTATCTATTTGTCATCAAAAGTTAATAGCAAGCTCTGTTCGAAATCTGTTTAGGTTTGGCTATCTGGGTTGATCAATATGGCGAGCGTTTTGAATCTGAGTTGATGACACCGTTTCACGTGTGTCATCTTCGAAATCGTGATGTCACATCGCGCGGTTTTATTGCATTTCTGAAAATCTCGAGAGACTCGCGGTGATAGGTTATTCAATCGTCGCGCGCGCTATCGAGGTGAAACGATGGTTTAATTTCGATTTAAGGATGTATTGCCTATATAGTCCCTGCAAAAAGTAACTGACAGAAGTATGATGTAATATTTATATTACATATATACGATATAGTTGAGTAACAACAGTAGTTTTACTTTAACATTATATTTTTGTAGATCTGCTATTATTATTTGCTTTATTTTGTTATTTCTGACTTTAAAACTTTTATTCCTAAACCACAATAAAACTTTGCAAACATCATTTGAGAATATTTAAAGTACATGAATACAAAAATTGAGATTTTTATCATATTATTATTATTTTTTTTTCCAAATAGCAGTAGACTGGCATTAAAAAAATAGATTAAAGATACACGATTAAAGTCACTTTTGCGTTGTACGCGCTTCGACAACGCTTCACAAATTCTCCTCTAATTTCGTCAATTTTCAATTGAACTTTAAATGATTTTCCTAAAAAAAAAAAACTGCATAATCTTTCAGAAAACACGATAAAACGTCGAATTTTGAAATTTCTATTGTAGAGTTTTCTCTTAAAATCGCATGCAGATTCTCAAATGAAAGGAAATTAACACTCTGAGGTAATCCACACGTAGAGATGAAAATGGTCCAGTCTGTGACGGTAACTTACCCGGTAAATTACGGCACATCACTCGATGATTTTGGAAAACTGGTAAAATAGTAATTTAGAAAAAATTATAGAAATAAAATTTTAGTATAAAGCTCAAAAGGAAGATTTAATCTTTAAGATAAGATATTTTATTTAACTTATATTTTCCGTAAAATATTTTGATATTCTATATTGATATATATAACAAATAATAAATAGTAAATATAGTTATAATTAAGAAATTTAATTAATAATTACGAAACTAGGTATATAGTAACTAGAAAAAATTGAAAAAAATTTTTAAGTTTCAATCTATATTTTTCGTACCTCAAAAACCTCGTACCTCGAGTCTCAATCCATATTGTTCATACCATCGTATAGACTTTTACAGTATTTTTATTTATTACCTTACTGTTTCAACGACTAGACTGTAGTACATAACTGAAAATTTTTAGTAGTATTTTAAGCAATGAAAACTTTAATACTTTTGAATGATTATAAATAATTTCTTTTCTTTCACTTAAGAGATTATCTGATATATATCTGATGAAAATATAAGAAGAATGTTGTTTCTTATCTTATGCATTAATGCGGAAAACACGAATATTGCATGAAATTATCAGAGAAATAACGAATTTTATCAAAATTATCGATAAATTATCATCTTATCGTAATTTTACCGTAAGTAATCGTCACTTTGAAGGTAACTTTACATCTCTATCCATGTGTCAATGTCCACTGTATGTATATCGTGTGTTTGGACACGTTTTACTTACCTCGAGGTGCTCTGATCACCAAGTACTGCGGATCGACGCTGAGTGCTCCGACCTTGCCGGTCACGAGCGCCTCGCGCAATGCCTTTTCCGCTTCGATTCCGGTGTCCGCGGGTTTCAAGGATCTTCCCTTGGCCTCGTTCTTATCGAGGATTAGGTTCATGCGCGCTATCACTCCTTGCTCTTCCCTGCGAGAGAAAAGAGCGACGCATTTAAGTAACACGCGCGGGATAGGAGTGTTCTTACTCATCGCTGTTGCGCGTCTTATAACTCACTTTCGTAGCTCGTCAAGTCGCACTTGATAATAGCCTGGGAGCTTCTCGAAGACCGGTCCGAAGCTCTCCGATATCCTGTTCGAGATCAATTCGAAGTCGGAACTGCTGGGTATAGGAACCTTAAATCCGTCGCCTAAATTCACGAGCTTGACTTCGATATCGTAATGCAATCTGGGTGGCGCGGGCGTACTCTGCTCTTCAGTTTCTGTTTCAACAAGAAAGGATATTCTTTTGAAACATTATGTGGAGTAATTTTGGACAATAAGATTAATTCTTTTCGGACCAAGAGTACTTGTACTATCTTGAACGTGTTTTAAGAATATTCCGACATTCTCCTTTGTTTACAACCCGCGTCAAAGCACGATCTATTTTGCGTGAGATATGACTGAAACGATATGTGTCGTTGCGCAGCTTTCAAGGCTGGAACTGTATTCCATACACGTTTACCGACTATATATTATATATCTCTTACCTTAAAATGAATTGATATCACATGATCAATGTTATCTCTCTCTGTTAGTGAAGTCACTATTTTCATGTTGAATTCAATGATTATGTTAATTAAAAATGGTTATGTTAATTAAAAATTCTTTTAACGATTCGATTCGATTTGATTCGGACGAAATTTCATCGATTCGATTCGATTCGAATTCGAAATTAAAATCTGAAATTCGATTTGATTCGATTCAACATTAAAAACCTTTGATTCGCACATTTCTACAAAAAAGTGAGAATATAAATCACGAAAAAATTAATTTGGAAAAGATTGCGATTAAATAATATTCGCACGGTGATTTTGATAAAAAAGCCGTTAAATAAAATAATACCATAACGTGAGGTTAAAGTAAATTGATATACTGTTAATTAAAAATTATATCGCGTATCAGTACACGGGAAAAAAGATTTGCTGATATATGGACAAGTAAAAATATTAACTGCAGGAGCAAATTCTCTTGCTTTCATAGTAAAAGTTATTTAGTTGTGATAGCTAAAAGAGTTGCTAATATATGTATTAGTAATAGTAAAAATTATTTAGTTGTGATAGCTAATATATATATTAGCAAATCTTTTAGCTATCACAACTAAATAACTTTTACTATGAAAGCAAGAAAATTTGTTCCTGCAGTTAATATTTTTACTTGTCCATATATCAGCAAATCTTTTTTTTCCGTGCAAGAACTTACGCACAAGCAACATATTTTTAACGTTACCTTCCAAGCCGCAGGACTTGATGCATATTCTGTTCGACGAAACAACCGGTTTCGCGTCGTGCTTTCGGATCTTCTTATTGATCGGATTGAATGTGCCGCCCTTTACCGGGAACATCATATATAGGCAGTGATCATCCGTGAATGAAAGGTCCCTGCTGTCCTTTGTCACGCGCTTCCTCGTAAATTTGAGAGTAGTCACGCCGTTCTCGATACGGCCACTGATATTGTAAACGTCCTGCGAAGGATCTAACAATGGCGCATTATAGCCGCTGATCCAAGTGTCCATCAGGAAGGCTCGACCGGTGTTCTTGTCGACCCAGCCGAGCACTGCATCGGTCTGCGACTAAAAATTAAACCAGGCCTTTATAATATTCTCTGTCAACTATATACATTTATATGGAGCTCTAATTGGATATTTTACAATCACAAATTATATCATATTTCTTCAAAAAGCTTACCTTATAACTATAAAGGAAAATAAATAATGAAATAGATATGACAATTGGTTTAATCAGTCAAGTTTTCGCGCCGATTTCTAAAGTCTTTAGATGTCACTCTAATTAAAATAAGATTGCAAATACATTGAGTTGTAATTTTTAGAATTTTTGAAATTCTTGGAAACAATTTTATTCATACTTTTTTTATATCTATTATTTATGAATGGAAGAATTCAGGATGCTTTAGCTAAACGATAACTTCTATTATATTTGATTCCTGAATTTAAGTTTGTTTATTTCTGTGACACCGAAAAGATTGAGACGACTTTTAAATATTTAAATAATTTATGAAGAGAACACACGCGGCGCGTACATTCGAAGGAGATTAAACGTTTACCATGCTGTCGTCGTCGGAAAATCCAACTCCTGTCCACGTGTTGATATTCGTCGTGGAAATGACGAACGTTATGAGATCCTACGGAGAAAAATTTCCATGATATTGATTCCGCGCGTGGAACGGCATTGTTCGCTCTCCTACGTCGAGGGAACGCCAAGGAAACGCGAGACAAATTACCTTTCTACCCTTGTACGTCCATTGTATGGTATATTCGCAAGTGCCATTCTCCGGCGAGCAATTTTTCGGGTAACGCCACTGGCCGCCGCAGCTACCGTCTTCTAACTTTGCACCTCCGGCGAATTCCGGCTTTTTAGCCTCGTCTGAAACGATCAATATGCGTGTCATCATATAAGATACAAGCTGCAAGGAGACTTAATGACAAAAGAAAACGAAATAAAAATATAATAAATTCACGGTGAAAAAACTTAGCTGGATCGACAATGAACGAAGCAAATGCGTTTTGATGTTGAAGAAAATAGAATTTCTGCTTCTTACAAACAGAAAAATACACATTGCATTTAAATAAATGTTTCACGTATTCCATAAAATATATCAACAAATCTATCATAAGTTTATTATAAGCACATTATATTTATTTAAAGTATATTCTGAGTCCTAGTCAATTTAGCATTTCAATCAAGACCATTAAATCAATCAATCATCATATTAAGAATATTATATTAAAACAATCAATCAATCAATTATGTCAAGTAGCATATGAAATTAAAACAAAAATTCGATTTGTTTACTTACAATTTATCTTCAATAAAGCTTTACAGTATTTCTGCAAAGAGAAGGAATTCTTTTTTTGAGTATACGATAATGAGTTTTTCTAAAATTTATGATGAGTAAATTTCAATTAATATATTTGAAAATATGAATATATTTAAAGATTAAGAAAACATATTCTTTGTTGTTAACTATTGCTCAAAAGAAAGAAAGTAAACTGGGTAATTACATTTGTTAGCATTAGAATGATATTTTTCTGTGTGTAGAATCGAATATGATACAAAAACACGTTTGACTCGTTCATTATCAGGTGAATTCAACCGAACTTTTTTCTCTGTAAATTTATTATTGAGTTTTTTTACTGAGTTCTTCCTGTTTCATAAGAACTATTGAAATTCTGTTACTTTCAAGCAGAACGCGTTTGATTCATCCCGCGTTGTCAGATTAATTCAACCATATTTTATTCTCCGCGAATTTATAACATTTTTATTATGATTTTTCTGATTCATAAGAACTATAAGAATTTTGTTTCCTTCAAACAGAACGCGTTTGATTCATCCCGCGTTGTCAGGTTAATTCAATCATATTTTATTCTCCGCGAATTTATAACATTTCTACTATGATTTGTCGGATTTATAAGAACCACAAGAACTCGGTTTTCTTCAAACAGAATGCGTTTAGTTCGTTGTCATCAGGTTTATTCAAGCGAGCTTTCTTCTCTCCATGTTGGACACGCCTGAAATCCTCAGGTGTGGAGCCAACCGACCATTTCCAATCTCGGAGAGACCGGTCGGTGTGTTTGAACGTCGCGCATTTCGCGACACTTCGCTAAACGCGCACAGCCGCCTCGTTCGCAGTCCGACAAGGCGGCTTCGTAATGACTTTACGATACACACGGATAAAACTGGACGTACATAAGGACTTCGCTCTCACCGAAGAAATTCATCGTCACCGCGCCTCGCTGCATGCCATGCCCGTGATATTTGAGCTCGTCGACCTTGTAGAAGTCTTTGACGCCGACCTTGGCCTTTTCGATGCCGCTGGCTGGCTGGTGCACGTATTTGCCGGGCTCTTGACCTCTCGCCCAAATCACCTGCATATTGCCGTCGACGATTTCGTGATCAGTCGGCTCGTTCGCGGCCAATTTCCTGCGGAAGAGCATCGTCGTGACGCCGTCGTGTTCGTAGCCGATCGCGGCCGTCAGGCTGTCCCTACCGCCCCAGTATTCGTCCTTACGGGGCGTCGACCTGTCCCTCGTGTAATAATCGCCGATCTTGTACTTCGTCCCACGCGCCATCCCGATGATGATGTCCGTGCAGTCCATAGGATTGAAGTCGTGCTTAGGCGTGTACTTGTGCCCCGGCGCTGGTAACGACGCTTCGCAGATGCGAGGATACAAATTTGATTAACGTTAAATGAGGCGCGGCAGACGCGCGGACAGATCGTTTAATCGTGTGGAACGAAAATGATGGAATAATTGAGCAGTGCGCTGAAATGCGTCCGCGATTCGCCACTTGAGAATTTCTCATTTCTTTATCTTACAAAGTTACACGCGACTTGGCTTTAGTCAGGGCGAGTAATTGACTTTTTTTAATTAATCACATCGTGCTCAATTAACAATTAATATGAACCGATTAAATTGGAGACCGTTTAATTTGGCTACTGATTTGAACAAATCAACTTATTGATCAGATTATTAATTTAAGGTTGATTGTTTGGTGTTAACAAGCTCAATCGAAGACTGTCCGATTGACGATTGATTTCAATTCAATTGACGATTAATATGAGTGAAGGGGAATCAAAGATCATTAAATTAACAATTGTACCTGGAAAATTTAATTAAAGGCCGTCTTATTGATGATTAAGCTTAGCAAATTTAATTACGAGCCGTAATTAATTTAATTGCCCATTAATATGAACAATGAATGCTTTTTGATTGATTTGAATAAATTTGCTTATATCAATCATCAATTAAATGGCCTTTAACGAGATTTACCAAATTCAGTTGTGAATTGAACGATTTTTTATTCCCTTTGTTTATATCAATAGTCAATTAGCTATAGTTATGCAAGAATGAAAGAATCCACATGAAGTATATTTAGAGAAAAATAAAGATGAAAATTCGATACACAATTTAAAAAGAATAGATAGCATCGAGATTCTCTTTGTAATTCAAGAAGTCAAGCATGATCAATTTTCTTCTCTTTAAGCATATTTATTGATAAACTTAATCCTTAAAAACATGAGTAAAAAGATGCAACTAGTAAAAAATGGCATAACTAGTAGAAAATAAAAACTGTTTCTTGATTAGTTTTTAAGTTTTATTTTAAGCTTCTTGATTTTTTTAATTTTAAGGCTTGGGTCTTTTTTATTTTGTACAGAAAGACGTATGGATCATTGATTGGTAACTGAAATTTAAAAAACATAATTTTGTGATTTGGATTATTCTTGCATAACTGTGGCCGATTGAACGGTCTTTAATCGAATTCGTTGAAATCAATCGTCAATTAAACATTCTTTGATTGACATTCTTTGCTCGAACCGATCGTTAATTAATTGGAATATACTCGTTCCAATCGCATTACTGGAATAAGAAAAATTTAATTGATACTTTTACAACTCCGCGAGTATAGCATAGCATTAAAAACAGATTCAACTGAAACGTGACTTACGTTTCTCTTCCATTATTCGAAATATTATGGCGTTTCTGAAATTTGCTATCTTGTTAAGGCTCCTCGCATTGTCCATCTTTTTTTAATGACGTCAGAAGCGAGAAAATGGATGCTAAAAGTTCGTACGAAATACGTTAAAATAAAAATATATATCCATAAAGTAACACTTGCAATCGATTAAACAAATATCGTAAATTAAACAAATTGTCGTAAATTAACGTAACATACAATTCATTTTCTTAACCTATTTCTCCGCCTATTTCTATTCAGATTAATTTACAATAAATTATTGATTGTTAGAGCAAAAGGGGAGTGCGCGGAATATCTTACAAATTTGTTTAATCGATTGCAAGTGTTACTTTATGGACATATATTTCTATTTTAATGTATTTCGCAAGAATTTTTAGCATGCATTTTCTCGCTTCTGACGTCATTAAAAAAGAGATAGACAATGCGAGAGGCCAGGAGCCTTAAGCGCACATTTCAGTCATTCGATACAGATTAGCTATCGATCCGCATGGGATGAGTCGATGTTATGGTGTGTTAAATGCTGGTGTTAAATGGTGTCCTACGGTGTCGGAGTAGTTGTGGTGGGTAGAGATCGAGACACGTGCGTATTTCGTGTCGAAGTGTCACAGCATGCTGAGTCCGGAAGTTACATCGGTATTTACAGGAGAGAAAAAAAACAATGTCGGGGGTGAGTGTTGAGCGATTTCGGGCCATGAAGCGTTAAGCGGTTATCGATAATTATCTACAGATTACTTCTTCTTGCAAAAGTACTCGGGATAGTTGCGTTACGCGCGGTCGGCAATTAATAATCAGGAAGTGATGCGCGGTCAGCGCATTTGCGTTAACATTTCGCGCATCAGCGGCGCATCCGGTGGAAGCGGCAGATGTCGCGGGCATTATTCTCACTTCTTATCAACACGCTAATTACGCTTTCTCAGCAAACATTTGCCGTTGCGATCCTCACGTTCCAGTTGCGCGAACTTTTCCCGGCGGCCTTACGGTTATCGTGAAAGTCGCGGATGCCGAAAGTAATGAGTGAAGTATATACTACTGATTACATTGTTGAAGTGTGTCCAGATGGCCGCGACTACGAGAGATTTCCTCTGCATCTCATCTCAATCTCTCTTCGTCAGGACGTTTATACAGGTTGTCTGACGATAACATATGAGACTCTTGTGTAGATCAGGTCGAACTGAACGAAGAATTCCTCTATCATTTTGTAAAATTTTGAGTTATCAATTGAAGAAGATTTTGGCGAATAAGTACACAGAAAAAAAGATTAGTATCCACTTAGAATTAATATATTCAAATTAACCATCATTGTTTTATATGAGCAACGATATATAATTTTGTTACCAGAATTTTTAAGTCTCGAATTTCAACAGTGTTACAATTTTATCTAAATATTATAATAGTCTCATTAAAGATATAATCTAATTATTTTGTGATGATAATGATATCTTTTCCTTCAACATTTAAAAATATTATATTCTCAATCCAATATTTTGTGCTTTTCATTCATGAAAATAATTTCTGAATGATAAGAATATATTTTTCTTTGTTGGATCACGCATATAAAATGTATTGACGCAAGTAACTTATGTTCGTTTAAGGCTATGTAATCTCATTCAAAGATTTACACGTAAAAAATAGAGATATTTTCAAAACAAGAATGTTCTTTTTTCTGTGTACGATTTGTTTGTGCTTTGAGTCAAACTGATAAAAAAAATGCTGTACCATCATTTTGCAAATAACAATGTAGATACTTGAGTTATTAATTAAAGAGAATTAGCGAACGATCGTGTGCAATTATTATCTAATTAATAACTCAAGAATCTCCGTAATTGTTTGCGAAATAGTATAGAACTTTTGTCCAATTTGATTTGATGTACAAGTATTCAACTCAAATCGTCACACCATGTACCATATCCAGCGCCAATCTTCTTTAGTAACACAACATTTTATGTAGTTGCTCGCAAAATAAACAACAAGATATTCTTAATTTCAATTCGTTGAATTTTACCTGCATACCGTGGTTGTATCTCGAATTTTCAGACCTCTATAAGTAAGAAGGATATTTTAAAGATGTATCTCATAATTCACGACAAATTTGGCGGATTATATCATAAAAATTAACACAAACTCGTACAAGATTTTCAGTTCGACCTACGAATCTTTTCATTGTTGTCGCCAACGATAGAAAGGAGAGTTGAGGCAAATCTCTAGTAGTGTGAAAGTTAATGATATAAGAGCGTGGCGATGTATGCGGAAACAAGCGTTAAATCAGTCCTCGTTACCTTTCGTCGCTCCCGATTTCGGACCCACACTTGGCTCCGGTTCCGAGCTGGGTTCTGGTTCAGAGTTTGGCTCTGGCTTAGAACTAGGTTCCGGCTCGGACTTTGGTTCTGGTTCAGAACTGGGTTCCGGCTCGGATTTCGGTTCTGGTTCAGAGCTGGGCTCAGGCTCGGATTTCGGTTCCGGCTCAGAGGTGGGTTCAGGCTCGGACTTTGGTTCTGGTTCAGAGGTGGGTTCTGGCTCGGATTTTGGCTCTGGCTCAGAATTTGGCTCTGGCTCAGAGCTTGGCTCTGGCTCGGAATTCGGTTCCGGTTCCGAGCTCGGTTCTGGCTCGGATTTTGGCTCTGGCTCAGATACTGGCTCCGGCTCAGACCTAGGTTCTGGCTCAGATCTAGGTTCCGGCTCAGACCTAGGTTCTGGTTCAGATCTAGGTTCCGGCTCAGACCTAGGTAGTGGCTCAGACCTAGGTGGTGGCCCAGACTTAGGTGGTGGCTCAGATCTAGGTGGTGGCTCAGACCTAGGTTCTGGCTCAGAAGTGGGCTCTGGTTCAGAGCTCGGTTCTGGCTCAGAGGTGGGTTCCGGCTCGGATTTTGGCTCTGGTTCGGATTTCGGTTCTTGCTCGACGTGAATGCTGGACTCGACGACCGGTTTTCCTGTGCAACAAAGCATCGTACGTCGTGCCAACTACCTACTTACAAGGGCCATCACCTCGTGCGTCGTGTCTCGAAGGGTGGAGATCGCTACATACACTACTGGGATTTCAGGGAGATTTCCAGCTACGTATCGCTACTAAGTTCTTGGTCAAGCGAGCGACTCATCGGAGAGAGCTGTTCTATACATTATTATTATACATACCGTTCGCGGAGATCGGGGTCGGTTCTGGAGATCGTCGTCGGCGACCTGCGTGAACAAAATGACTATAAGAGCATCTCGCTGGAGGCATTAAAATGCGACGAGATCGCTTCATAAATAATGATTCTTTTCACTCCTTGGGACAGAGTTTAAGATGTCGCGATTAGCATTCTATCACGACGTTAACGAGTGAGAGGCTCAAAACTTCGACTTTGAATAACATCCGTGATAGCTATTATCCGTGTGTAGATAAAAATAATACGCGTGTATTTTTGCGACGTTCACGCCAGTACGTGTTTTCTTGCCCGTTGCGTCTAAGCGTGTCATTACTTGTGCGTTATCATTTTTCCGCGACCGGTGTTCAGGTTAATTACAAAATTGCGTAATTACGTCCTTGAACTTTACGCGATCTCGATCTAATATAACGCGTCGGAATACGCATTAATATGCCAACGGTAGCGTGCCACCGGCTATTTACTATGCGCGTTGTAGTCGGAGATGAAGTCGGTATAGACGCACCTTGAGCCGCGCGCTACTGAACGTGTTTTTCTATTTTTAATATAAGAATAACGTAGACTCTTTATAAACATCCTCGTGCAGAAATATCGCACGGCGGCAAGATAAGTTTCAAGAGAAATTTGAAAGGAACCACTACAGTGCGTGTATAGTCGATTGCATAAAGATTGCGACACTTTTTTTTGGACAAGTTTATACGATACAATGGCTGCGTTCAGCAGAGAAAGCTACTTTGCAACTGTTGTATCAAATGTGTAAATCTGATTCGTATATGCTGCTAGATTTAGCCAAGATTAAGAGCATATACCAATTCACGAATCTTACAACAGTTGCAAGGCAGCTTTCTCTGCTGATTGGCCGCAGCCAACGATATTTACACTTCTGCTTTTGTATATTCTGTACCGAAAAATTCGACGGCTTTCACAGCTCTCTTTGCTCGAACTCGCGCACAGACATTCGCAATCTCATTAAAGATGTATCGCTCACATCTTAAAAATAATGTAAAAGTTTTAGAAAAGTTGCAGATTGATATATATTACATTTAAGCGTAATCACAAACAATTTGATATTGATTCAGAATCTACATCAAAATTGCACTTCCACTTCGAAGTGCACAGAAAGAAAATTAGAGTACCCACTTAAAACTAATGTATTCAAACTAATTATTGTTTTATATACAAATAACGATATATAATTTTGTTAGAAGAATTTTGAAGTCTTGAATTTTGAGAATATTATAATTGCACTTGAATATTATAATAACAGAAGTATATAACATTGCTATCTTTAGTAAAAGAAAAATTTATTAAAAAATAATGAGAAAAAATAATAAAATAAATAATGATAAAAAATAATGACCAAAATTTCAGTTTTTGTATATACAGTGAGTGTAGAAAGTATTCGCGCGCGTACATCAGAGATTGTCTTGAAAAAGGTCTGATGTACGAATACTTTTTACACTCACTGTATGTGCTTTAAATAATATATACAAAGTTTCATTGCAATTCAGAAATGAAAGCTTAAGAGTCAAGAACAACATAAAATGAAGTAAACAAATTATAAACATGTGATTTTTAATCAAAAACTTGTCATTCACATACCGTTAGTTTTTAGACGTAAAATAGAAATATCAGCGTGTTTCTAATTATCAGTGGCTTTTTGCAAAGACTATGCTGGCAATACATCTTCCTCATTCATCGTGTGTTCATAAACTTGTCCGAAAGGAGGAAGTGTCGCAACCTTGACGCAAACAACTATTACACAGCACATTTACCGTAACATCTTCCTGGATGCGTTGACAAATATTGACTTCACGCGCGAAGTGTAACGACACGGCGCAGTAACAAGAGAAAACAAAAAGTCTCACCTTGCTTCGTGCTGACTTGGTAAGTCACGCTGGTCTGCACAGTGACGTCGACGTCCGGTCGCGACGTCAAGCCGAACGTCGCGGTGTCCGCCTTGGCCGATCTTCTCTTCGCTCCCGATTTCTCGGCTTCCAAGCCGGGCTCGGCGTTCGGTTCTGGTTCCGGTTTCGGTTCCGCGCGGGGCTCCGACTTGGGCGTCGATCTCGGTTCCGCAACCGGCTCCAGTTTCGGCTCTGGTTGCGGCAGCGGCTCGTCCTTCGGACGATCTTCGATCTTCGGGAAGGAGCGGCAGGTCGGGCCCAGGTCGCTGGGCCTCCATCCGATCGCGATCCAGGTAGTCGAGTTGGCGACGAGAACGCCTTCCAGTTCCTTGCTGTCTTTCAGGATCCTCCAGTAGAAGACGACGTCGTCGGAGAAGCGCTTCATCGTGTACCCGTCTTGGTCCACGTCGACAGTCTCCACCGGTGATCCTGCAAGCGGGCACATTGTTGGAAGCAAAAGTCACAGCTGATTTCAGCGTGAACTCAGCGGGACTCGTAACTTGACAGATAAGCTTGACACATTCCCGATCGTGTGATTGAGGTCTGTTCACGCTGATGTCGGCTAAATTGCTTCTGCTTGTAAGAGGCTGTTCACGATTGATGGCTCGTTAGAACGACGGTCAAGTTACGTAACGAGAGTTCGCGCTAAGTAGATCGAATCGTCAGCTATCAATATATCGAATTTCAATGCACCGCGCGAGCGCGCTGAATCGTCCCGGAATCCGTGAACGTTGAATAATTTAAGGAGTTTATTCACCAGATAGGGAAGACCGAGACTAGATGTCTTATATTTTGTAATTTCGAAGTTACTACTTCTCAAGCAACTAATTGTTATGACTGACTGTATAAACATGATGGGGGCAACTTTCTTTTGTTAATGCCCGCCACGATCCTGTTAATCGTACATTTTATTCTGTAATAATCAAAATATGAACATGAGGCAACGTAGCATGTAGCACATGTAGCAAACATGGCCATCTTGCCATGGGCATCAATCATGAATCTTTTCACACGAACTTTGGATTTTCTCAATTATTTAATATTTTTCCTTAGAATGAAACTATGAGAAGTGAATTATTTTGCGGTACTTGAAGGCGATCGTAAATCCTTTACTCCAACGTAAACTGGTGAAAACTGTATATTTCCATATATTTTCAAGATTAGATTTTCACGAGTTCACATTAGGTGAAAAGATTCATAATCGAGCTATCGTGATATCAGATTCAGTTGTCTAATAACGTAAGGTAGAAAAAAGAGAGCCACATATAAAATATGTATCTTGATTAGTAGTTCTGGGCTTTCCACGAGACTTCTCTTTTCGGCTTTTAATTATAGGCTTTTATCTCGTTCATCTATATGCTCTACTTCGATTATTTTATGAATGAAAATTACATTTAGAAACAATATATCATATACTTGCAAGAAATATCATTCTGGCTAGTAACACATTGTTTAATTTTCTTATTCAGTCACAACAGAGACTATTAATATAAAATTTCGAGAGCCTCAAAAATTTACTTTGCTATTACCAAATCATTTTTCTATTTCTTAACTGTGATATTATTCCTATTTTATATAATGAAACTTAGGAAAAAGTATTTAGGAAAAAGTATTTATGTATTTATAACGGTAAGTTTCTTACTTGGAAGGTAACTTTTTTATTCTTTTACAAAGTTACACAGGAATAATGGTCATCTATATTGCTTCTACCGTAAGATTATATGTGCAAAATATTCGTTTATCGATTGTTAAATTTCTCATGAACAATATAGGCACAAATTGCGTGAAACTTGAACTACAAATGTGTTTTACCGCGAGAAATGTTACATTAATATACAAAGTTTTTTGTATAATCTTATATATTTTTATTTAAGTGGATAAACTCCTTAGAGAGGGGAAGGGGGAGCGCAAATCCATAACTCCGATATGAGTCATATTAATTGATTTATCATCGACGAAGCGTTGTACACGTCCCGAACGTAAAGATTAATCAGAATTAATTAGGGGGGTAACTTGATGTTGAGGTCTCAAAAATTAGCACACTTTACGAATTTTTTTCTCCGAAACTATGCGGGTGATAAATCCCAAAATTTGTATAGTTATTAAGACATATTTTATTAAAACTTTCTAATTTTTACAAACAGAAATAATGTATAAAATCATAGTTATAATGATATGCGCGCAAGGTGTTGATTTTCATGATCACCACGATTGCGAGTCTCCGTGGTCTGAAACAAGAAAGCAAGTAAAGAAATTAATCTACAGACTTACCGCTATCGTCTGAAGTACGGAAATGCAAGACGAACCAATTTTTAATTAATTTAAGATGTATAAACATACAATTTTTAGTCCATTTTTTAAATTTTATGTTTATACGCTTGAAAAAAATGGTTCATTTTGCACTTCCGTACTTCAGAAGATAACAGCAAGTCTGTAGATTAATTTCTTTACTTGCTTTTTTGTTTCAGACCACGGAGAGACTCGTAATCGTGGTGATCATAAAAATCGACACCTTGCGCGCATATCATTATAACTATGAATTTATAAATTATTTTTGCTTGCAAAAATTAGAAAGTTTTAATAAAATATGTCTTAATAACCATACAAAGTTTGGGATTTGTCGTCCGCATAGTTTCGGAGAAAAAAATTCGTAAAAGGTACTAATTTTTCAGACCTCAAAATCGAGTTGCCCCCTTAAGCACTCCGGCTTAAAGTGAAGTTCAAGAGTAGCCGAAATGAAATTTAACGCAAGACAAGAAGACCAAAAGGAAAGAGAAGCGTATCGAGTTTCTCTTTAATACACTCAACGGGATGCCACTAAAATATTTCTTTGCCGCGCAAAGAGAGCGTTAAAGGAGAATTTTAAGGCGACCCACGTTGTTTCGTTTCCTTCTCTTGTCGTTTTTCTCTTGTCCCGATATCGTACGACGAGAGGACGGGGCACCGGTTTAGCATAAGTGTCCCAGAAGCGGCGGCCCGATGGCACGCGAGAAATTCCCCCCCGTAGGAATTTCGCGGGGCGCGCGGTGAAACTTACTTTTCGAGCAACTCGGGCCGAACCAGCCGTTGTTGCAGTAGCAGTGCTTGGTAGGCGCGGTCGTGCCGCCGTTGTCGACACACGTGCCCTGAATACCGCAGTCCGAGTTGTCCAGGCACTCCTCCTTAAATTCGCACCTCGTGCCGTGATAGAGTCGGTCGCATCTGCACCTGCTCACCAGGTAACGTCCGTGACCGTTGCAGTCCTCGTGGTAAGCCTTCTTGTCGACGATCTGTCGGAAGGCGAAAATATCGATAGTCACTCGAGCAGAGGCTGGAGAGACATCGCGCAGACTTTACAATGCAAATGTATACGTATATGCGGTGTCATTGACCGTAATTCGCGCGCAACCGTTGAGAGAGCCGTGCACTAATTGGCATGAGCGGAATTAGATGAGAGTCTGGAGGATTTGGTTCAGCAATCAGCAGGAGATACCGAGTGACAGACCGCGATCATTTCGGCACGTTATCGTGTACAAGGAGAGACGCGGCGATCTTCTATTTTCACTCAGCCTGATTCCTACGGGTTTCACTGTTCTCTGATACGAGGGTGGTCTGAAAAGTTTCCGACCTAACAAAGATACAAGTCATTTTTTCTGAAAATTGTTTTTTATTTTTCAACATAGTCTCCTTGTAAATCTACACACTTCTCCCAGCGATGCTCCCATCTCTGTAACCCGTCGAAATAGTACTCGGCGTTTTTCTCTGCAAAATAATTGTTCACGAAGGTGATTGCCTCTTCATTTGACGAAAATCTCTGTCCTCCGAGCGCAATTTTTAGATGAGGGAACAAAAAGAAGTCGCTTGGGGCTAGATCTGGTGAGTAAGGTGGATGGTCAAGCAGTTCAAACCGTAATTCGTGGATTTTCGCCATGGCAACCGCTGAGGTGTGAGACGGTGCGTTGTCTTGGTGAAACAGGATTTTCTTTTTCTGCAAATGTGGCCGTTTTCCCGCAAGTTCTGCCTTCAGCTTGTCAAGTAATGATGCGTAGTATGCTCCTGTAATGGTTTTTCCTTTTTGAAGATAATCGATTAAAATAACTCCATGACTATCCCAAAAAACAGTCGCCATCACTTTCCCAGCCGAAAAAACAGTTTTTGCTTTTTTTGGAGCCGGTTCCCCCTTTGCAGTCCACTGTTTGGACTGTATTTTTGTTTCAGGCGTATAATGGTGTATCCAAGTTTCATCTACAGTAATTAATCGGCGCCAAAACTCGGATTTATTGCGCCTAAACTGCTCCAACAGAGCGTTGGAAATGTTCATTCGAACACGTTTTTGGTCTAACGTGAGCAAACGCGGCACCCAACGCGCGGACAGCTTTCTCATGCCTAAATGTTGATTTAATATGCGACAAACACGTTCTTTTGACATGTTCATAACCTCTGCTATCTCTCTCACTTTAATTCGGCGGTCGTCTAGCACCATTTGGTGAACTTTGGCGATGTTTTCGTCGGTAGTTGCAGTTTTTGGACGTCCTGAACGTTCATCGTCTCCCAAGCTCTTACGGCCACGTTTAAATTCAGCGGCCCAAAATTTCACTGTCGTAAATGATGGTGCAGAGTCCCCATACACAGAATCCAACTCATCTTTGATTTGCGTAGGCGTATTGCCTTTCAAAAACAAATATTTAATGACAGCTCGATACTCGATTTTGTCCATTTTCACAAAAACACTCACATCAACTTACTCAAACGACTGTTACATAACAACTGCGAGTCCAAAATGGCTGAAACTTCGGTGAGTAACTGTCAACAGATGAACAACGAAATTCACTAGCTTTTATTTACAAGTGCTGCTATCTTCACGTTGAGGTCGGAAACTTTTCAGACCACCCTCGTAATTTCGCCTTAATTACTGCATTTAATGCTCTTGTAATTGCAATTTTTGCGCACTGAGAGAAATCTCTAAAAAATTGAGAAATATTTACTTAGTGGATATGACACATTTACTTGTGGTAATACACATATTTTTACATTGGAAAAGAAATGATTTTCAAATGAGAAAATATACATTTTTTCTCATGGAAGCAATTGTTTACTTAAATAAACTAATTTAAATTTTTAGGTTTAATATGTTATTAGTATTCACAGTATAAATATTTGTTGTTTTTTAATAATAATATACCATATTTTCACTGAGAAAAAGTTGTTTTCGAATGAGAAAATACACATTTTTTAAAAATCATTTTCTTTTCATGAATTGTTTATTCTGTTTAAGTAAAATAATTTAAATTCGAATAAATATGTTATTAATATGAATGAATGTTTGTTATTTTTTAGATGCTTTTTCTTTCAGTGGAGGAATAGATTGCTGTAAAAGTCGATTCGCGACTTATATTTTCAATGATTGTTTACAATCATTACATCTGTTTTATCCGTGAAAATTCTCAACGATCGTCAAATCGCCGCTCTCTCTTTCTGATCGGGTTCTCTCGGATATTTTCCGAGAGAAATCACGAAAAACTCACGTCGATGTCCGCGCACGACCAAAATCTGTAGTTGGAGCCCCATTCCTCGGCCTCCCGCAGCAGTCTAATGGTGCAGTCGGTGCAGGTGAAATTATGCGGCAGCTGCACGGCGTAACTTTGCGCACTGAAAATTGAATATGACAGGCTTATATTAATGAGGGTTCCGAGCGTGATCGCGTCGTCGTGTACTTACGTAGCATCATCTTCGACAAATTCGCTGTTTCGCGTGACGGGCGTCAGATCGATCAGAGGCCTGTCGAGAGCGTCTAAGATCTGAAGCCGGAAGCCACCCTGGAAAGTAGAAAATAAGCTTATACATGGGGAGAAATATTGTAGTAAAAATTACGTTAAAATTATACTTCATTTTACAATGCTTCCTGTAAAGTTCGAACATACTCGTACTTTGACGTTGTAGTATAAATTATTTTTAAAATAGTATAAGTTTCTATATAGAAACTTATACTAGAAAATAGAAAATGAAATAGAATATAAATAGAAACAATAAGTTTGGCGATTTATCGAATATATGATGTAAAAAAAATATTGAAGCAATTATAATAATTTTATTGTAGTAAAAAATCAAACGTGTTTAACATCTTTTAACAAATATACACGCGGAGAAAATATTGTAATAAAAATTACCAAAAAAAAAGAAAATTTTTGTAATCTTGGATCATACAGAATTACCATTAAAATCACTATATATCTATTTAAAAATGTTTTGCACGTTTAACTTTTTATTGCAAAATAATTGCGTGAAAAAAATGTCTGTTTGAAGTAATGAAATTTCTGGTGAAATGTAAGGCAGAATTCTGTTCAACAAGATTTCTGGTAAATTTGAACAGAATTCTAATAACTTCGAGTAGAATTTTCTGGTTTGCTCATTTTTCCTCAGAAATTTGGTTAATCCAACCAATGTGTTTTTTTGTGTGTAATTATTTAAATGCTTTTCATATATATTGTATATTCAGTAGATTACCAAATTTACTATTTTTTCTATAGTAAATTTATACTGCAATTTCAGTTAATCTAACTTTATATAAACTTTATGAAAGTTATTGTAAAGAGGAATATAATCTTAATGTAAAAATTCCATTACAATATTTTCTCCGTGTACAACAGTTTCGCTCATAGTTACTACATAATCCAAGATTACGAAATTTTGTCGTAATTTTTGCTACAGTATCTTCTCGATGTGCGTCAAAAGGTACCGTGTGATCTGCTCATTACTCGGCAGGAAACAAACCCTGCTCGTTTCTCGATTAATTTATCGTTTCGTCGTTTCGTTTCGAGATTCGACTCTCGCTCTCACGCGATACAAGCGAGTTTCCGTGCAAATGTGAAATTCATAGCTCCGCTGCGAGTTTCGCGATGAGCAATGCATCGTCGGGACGAGGCAAAGTCACGAGACGATTTCGATTCCGGTCTCGAGCGGAATCGGTGCAAGTGGGTCCCGGTCGCTCGATTTCTCGATTTTTTCCCTATAACCCGACTGCTGCAAGAAATCGTCGAGGCGATTCGTTCCGTCGTCGTGATCGACTGCGCTATCCTCAATAAATCAACGGTATCATATAAAAATTTTCCTGTACTGAATTCACCGGCACGAATAATTGCTTTACAGTTACTCATCAAAGCACACACATATCATCGCACGTCACCCTTAAAAAGAAGAATTATTTTAATTGCATATTAATTAACAGTCGCGTCCATAATCATGTTAATTTTATACGGCTGAAGGTACCTGGATCTCTTCCTCCTTCTCTCTCTCTCTCTCCCTCTCTCTCTTTCTATCTCTATCTACCTATCTCTCTACCTATCTACTTCTCTCTACCTTCTTTCTCTTTCTCTCGCTCTCAAATACCAGGATACTCGAGTCACCCGGACATGTGTTTATCTCGACTCGTAGCCGTGAATAACAACTGAAAGATGCGGATATTAGCCGGATTCTGGCACGAATGTGTCCATCGTCCAGACGTCCGCCGTGCCGCAGGCCGGGATAGCGGTATATTGGAAATGTTCGCGTCATACGAGTGTGTCATACGTGCTTTTCGCACGAGTGATCCCGCGTCGCGCTTGCGAGTCGGCATCCGGCTATGAACTACGGGTGTGCGACTTTTCTTTCTTAAATCGCAATGCGATACGCAATTGGAGCTTCATCGCAGAACAATCCAATACGAAATCGGCGCTTTCGTGTTATGAGACTTACTAAATTGCCGGGGCACACATACGAATCAATCAATTTACATAATTGTGTACACACACTGAGAGAAAAGACTGGTAACTATAACAAACTGCATTTAGTTACAGAAATTCGTTGAATCCTTAGTAACTAATACTAAATATGATAATAATTACCAAATATTTAATAGATTGGGAGTATGACGCAATTGCATTTACAGTAATATCAATTAAATAATTTAGTAATAGTTACTTAATGTTAAATATTTAATATGAAATATATTACAGTTATGAACAGATATTTGATAATTGTTATGAAATTGTTATATCCTATGTAATAAAAGATTCAATAGGTACGAGTTCTATTTTGTTACCAGTATAAGTATGTTTTGTTGCAGCACAACGAAAAATTCATTCATTTGCAGCTATTACATCGTTTCAATATCTATTATTACAGAT